CCGTGGGCGGGGGCGCTGGCCCTGGTGCTGATCGCCGGGTCCCGCGGGTGGGTGGGGGAGGGAGCTGGCCGTGGTGCTGGTCACCCCCTCGTGTCCCGTGGGCGGGGGCGCTGGCCCTGGTGCTGATCGCCGGGTCCCGCGGGTGGGTGGGGGAGGGAGCTGGCCGTGGTGCTGGTCACCCCCTCGTGTCCCGTGGGCGGGGGCGCTGGCCCTGGTGCTGATCGCCGGGTCCCGCGGGTGGGTGGGGGAGGGAGCTGGCCGTGGTGCTGGTCACCCCCTCGTGTCCCGTGGGCGGGGGCGCTGGCCCTGGTGCTGATCGCCGGGTCCCGCGGGTGGGTGGGGGAGGGAGCTGGCCGTGGTGCTGGTCACCCCCTCGTGTCCCGTGGGCGGGGGCGCTGGCCCTGGTGCTGATCGCCGGGTCCCGCGGGTGGGTGGGGGAGGGAGCTGGCCGTGGTGCTGGTCACCCCCTCGTGTCCCGTGGGCGGGGGCGCTGGCCCTGGTGCTGATCGCCGGGTCCTGTGCTGGGGGGCCGGCCCGGGCTCTGCTCCCACCCGTGCCCCGTAGGTGGGAGTACCGGTCCTGGTGGCCATCGATCCCGAGGGCGCCGTGCGGGGTAGAGGCGGCCCCGGTTCAAGGCGCAGCCGGGTCCCGTGGGCGGGGGGTGCTGGCTCGGGTGCTCTTGCTCCCACCCGTGCTCCACGGGTCGGGGATGCGGGCCCTAACGCTGATCCCACGGGTTGCGGGGGTCCTAGCCCTGGTGCTGCCCCGGCCCCGTGTCCTGTGGGTTGCGGGCACTGGTGCTAGGGGTCATCCCTGGGGCTTCTTGGGGGCAGACGCGGTCCTGCTGCTGCTCCCACCCGTGTCCCGTGCGCGGAGGGCGCTGGCCCTGGTGCTGATCCCATTGGTGCGGGTCCTAGCCCTGGTACTGCCCGTGCGTGGGGGGCACTGATCCTGGGGGCGATCCGCAGGGCCCGGGGGGGGGGGTCCTAGCCCTGGTGCTGCCCCGCCGTGCCCACGGGGGGCAGCGGGCGGCCCGCGACGCGGGCGCTGTCCGCGGTGCTGGTTGCCCCCGGGCCCTGCTCGTCCCCGGCCCGGGCAGCTGCCGTGGCCACGACAGGGCAGCCGGGCCATTCCCAGCACCCTGCACCCCACTGCTCGCCCCAGCCCCGTGTCCTTCTCCTGCTCCCAGCCCTGGCTCCAGCCCCTAACCACACGCCACGGGGCGCTCAGCCCCACACCCGGTCCCAGCCCCGGCCCCCCAGGCCTCCCAGCTCAGCAGCTCCCTTTGTGTCTGGGCCACCTCCATCCCAGAGCTCAATTAGGCCCATGACATGGCGGTGGGGTCTCCGGGGACCCCGCGGTGCTGCCCGCACCCGCCACCCTGCCCGTGCCAGGCGTCCCCCTGCCCCGGCTGCTCAAGGGCTGGCTGGCTCTTGGCGGCCGGGTGCTGAGTCTTCCTCTCCCCCGGCCTGTTCCCCCAGGGACGCGTGCTAAGGGTAGGCATGTAGATACTGTCACCACCATCCGGGGGCATTTAATTAATGCAGAATTGATGGCTTTTGGCGAGAACAGTGAGCTCATTTCCAGGGCGGGAGCCTTGGCTGGGGGGAGGGCGATGCTGCTGCTCCCTTGCACTGAAGCAAGTATTTTATGTCTGAGGCTGACAGCTCTGCTGTTGATTTACAACGAGAATGGTGGGGGCTGCTGCCTTTGTTAGACGCAAAGGAACAGACACATGTCAGGCTACAGATGGCTGTGCCTACACACACACACACGCACAGACACGTGTGAACATGTGTGCATGCACACGCACGGTGGCATGCACGAGCTGTGCGTGGTGGGCTCTTGGTGGAGACCTCGCTCCGTGCACCTGGCCCCTGGGGGGAAGGGGTCTGCTGAGCAGGAGCCGAGCTGGCAGCCCCCTCCAGCCCTGTGTGCTCCCTGCCACAGCCCATGGGCAGCGCCTCCTGGGCCTGCCTTTGCTGTAGCCTGCAGGCTTTCAGGGAAAGGCTATAATTAATGCATCTCTTGCTTGCTGGCTCTGGGGACCCAAAGCACGCATCTCTGTGCTGCTCTCCTGTGAGCTGGCATAGGGAAGCATGGCAAGAACAGGCTTAGTGCACCGGAGGAGGCATTTGCTGCTGCTGGCATGCATCGCAGGGCGGGTGGTGCTCAGCTCGGCCCATCGCCCACCCCTGCCTTCCTCTGAGTGGCTGCAAAGAGCCAGAAACAAGGGAGCTGAGACAGAGCACGAGCTGCCCGGGGCCTCCAGTGTCCACGGTGGGCCTGGGGGAACGCCCTGTGTGCCAGACCCCTGCGGGCACCCCTTGCAGCTGCCAAGGCTGGGGGTGAGTGCATCCCCAGGGCCATCCGGGGGAGAGCTGGGTGCAGCCACGTCGTGCTGCAGGGAGTGGGCCAGGACACACAGCCCACGTCTCCTTTGCCCGGGCAGGCCCCTCTCCGTGGCTTGGTGCAGACGGGGCTGGTGGCTGCAGCCCATGCTGTGCGCTGGCTCCGGTGTGTCAGGATGCCGTGGCCCATCCACTTGACTCCGCTGATCGCTTGTGACAGGCTCGTTCTTGTTCTCAGAGACGCTGAGTGGAGCCGTGACCCCGCACAGCCCCTGCTCCCACCTGCCTCCAGGGAAGGGGCTGGGCTCAGGCTGAGCGGTGGGGGCAGGGTGACCCCCAGGTGCGGTCGTGTGTGCAGCGGGGAGGAGGACGGGCTGACTCCATGGGGCAGCAGAGGTGGGGGCTGCTCAGCTGCAGCTCAGAGGTCTCGCTTCAGTGCAGAAGAGCGTCCGTATTTATCTGTAAATCGCCCCTAGGATGGCCCCGTGGAGCATGGGCAATTTTAGTGCTGGTCCCGTGATCCCAGGGAGGCACTCCCTGTTGTGGGGGGAGCAGCAGCCACCTGCCCAGGGAAGCAGAGTAGGGAAGACCTCCACAGACCCAGGGGAGAGCGGGGCGGGCACAA